TATCTTCTCTGAGCTGGGCATATTTCATATTTCACACGTCATGCTTAGGGTGATTCTACAAAGTATCACTCTTTGACCTCACTTTACAAATGCCCTGAGAAGTAACCTGGCCAAGGTCATTCAGCTGGTCAGTGCAGAAAATTAGTGGAGAAACTGAAAAGAACTTAAGTCTACCTCATATCACTCTCCAACCTCAAAGGAGCCCATTCTTTCTTTCTTTTTTTTTTTGGTACTGGGGATTGAACTCAACTCCTTGTGCTTAGAAGGCAGGCATGGTGACACTGAGCTAAATCCCCAGCCCAAGTGGCCCCTTCTTGATCCCTAAAACTGAAGAGTCAGCATTCTAGAATGATCTGTAAGGTGCCTTCTAGTTGAGAAGGCTGGAAAGAAGATGGATGTTGTGAATGTAAGCAATTTGCTCCTTAAGAACCAACCATTTATCATGCGGTGACTTTCACTATAACCTGTGTTTGGCTTTCAAAAAACTTTCTCTGCACCATGGGAGACCAGTGAATTTTGGAGGAGTGTTGTCTTACCTACCCTCCCCATTTACAAATACCTCATTTAGCCAGAAAGCTTTTTCTGAGTGGAAAACATGCCCATCCAGAGAGATATAGCCTACAGCCCTTCTGAAAATTGGGAGGCTCCCTGGATTCATTCTCCTACCCTGGAAAACCTCTCTTTCTTCCTGGGCTCACACTTGTTCCGGAAGGGTCCTGTCTGTGGGATTGGTCTAACCTCTTGCAGACAGTGCTAACCCCTGGCTCAGAGTTGTCCCTTCCCTCTGTGTGGCAAGGGCCAACTCTGGTTGGTAGGTTGTTCAGAAACGCCAATGTTAGGTCTCTTCCTCCTTCAGTGAGTGTCTGCCCTGTGCCAGTGCTGTACTAGGCTCTGAAGGATGGGGAGGAGAAAGATATAGTCTCTACCCTCTGTGCACAGTAATTGTGTTGAAGATCTTAAACCCGATGATGGCCCCCTGCACCGGCCTCAAAGCACAGAGTGGAGGCAGGGCCTCCCTTGGGAGGCACCTCCTGGGCCTGAGCCAGGTAGAGGTGTGTGCCCTCCCCAGGTCCTGGCTGTGTGCAGAGGGTGTGTTGTGATCATGGGACACACTGGGAGAACACAGCTGGCTGGGGATGGAGGGTAGAGTATGAAAGGCTGTAGCACAGCTGTGGCTAGAGAGGTCATGAAGGCAGCCAGTAACAGCCTTTGAATGCCCAGTGAAGGAGTCTGGACTTGACTCTTCAGCAGTGGGCAGCACTTAAAAGGTTTTCAGGACAAGGACCCAACCTGAGATGGAGTCTGTCCCTGTTCCACCGAGTCCCAGTTAGAAGGAAGCTCCAAGTGGGGAGGGAACCCCAAGGCTATGACTTCTGGTCGTCTGCAAGGCTTACACACAGGAGTGCAGGGCCCTGTAAAAAGCTGACCATTTCCTGCCAGCAGCTTTGGCAGGCAGAGGGCATTTTTTTCAAGTCCCCAGGTGATTCTGCTGTGGGTGGTCATAGCTGTGACTCAGAGGTTAAGTTTATGTCCTTTATTATATTTACTAGTGTGCTATCTTGTTTTCTTTCAAGAAGAAAATCAACAGGGAGGACTTTACTTCTTGATATCTTCCCACCCACTTTGTAGTTTTTATTCATGTGGCCACCAGCAGTTTTCAAAGAAAACTTTAAAAGCCACCTCTTTCACCAGCAAACACATTTTAACCCTGGCCCAGCATCATTGTCCACGTTAGGTGAGAACAGCAAGGGTTAATGAGGGGCATTGAAGAGCTGACCCGGCCCTCCATTTCTGTCACCTTCTGATTCCCCTCCAGGCCCTCTGGACCACCATTGTGAATTCCGCCAGGGGAAAGCTCAGTGAATTAAAGCCATAGCTCATTTTCATCTTTGTAGGGAGATGTGGGAACCAGATTCTGGGGCTACAGACAGCACCTGATCCTGTCCTGCTCTAAAGGAGCTTAAATGAGAGAACTCAAACATTTTCAGGAATATTGAAATATTGTCAAACCTTCCAGTATATGCATGTATCTTAGCTGTCCCTCGGTATCTAAGGGGGATTCTGGGACTTCCTATGGATACCAAAACCTGCAGGTGCTCACGTCCCTTATATAAAATAAAACAATATTTGCATGTAATACATTCTCCCATATTTTTAAATCATCTCTACAATATGTATATATATTTGCCCGTATTTTAAAATCAACTTTACATTAAGTACCTGATAGAATAAATGCTGTATAGTCATACAATATTGTTTAGAGAATAATGATAAGAAAACTCTATACAAACACAATTTAAAAACATATTTTCAATCCACAGTCGGTTGCATCTGTGGATGTAGAACTTACACATAAGGAGTGTGACTGTACATGTCTATTTTAGAAAGTTGACACATTGAGAAAACTAAAGTGCCCTGAAAACTGACTCAGAGACAACTACCTCCCAAACCCCTTCAGGCCTGGATATACCCCTAGATATGGGAACATTCCCAAAGTGGGATCATATGTATTTGCTGTTTTATAGCCATGTTTTTTCATTCATAATATAAAATTTTTCTACACTAGTGAGTTATCATTCTTTTTAATTGGCTGCATAGTGTTTAAGTTATACAGATAAACTCTTTAACTGTACTCTCCCACCATTTATTTCCACCCCCCACTTTTTCATTTTGTGCACTTCCCCTATTATTACCTTAGAATGGATTCTCACATTTGTAGAGCTGTGAGAAAGGCTATGTCCATTTTCAATTGTTATATAATTATGCAAATGCATTCTCTGCCCAGCCTGAAAGAGTCATGTTCTCACTGCAGTGCATTACAAGTGCAGACTTCCCCAATGTGGGGAAGTCCTAAATGTCAATATCAGACCTCAGTGACTGAAGGATTCTGCAGCCACTCAGCATGGGCACGTAACCCATGTTGGTGCCTAACCCTCTTTCTGTCAAAACCTAGAATGGAAGGCTCGTGTAGAGCTAAAACTAACTATAAAAATCACCCATGCCAGCTCTTGAATCAGGTAGGAAAGGAAACTATGGCTTGGAGAGGTTAGTGGCCTTTCCAAGTAGGGGTGGCATACAGGACCCCCAGTCCTTTGTCCTCTGCCTCGCTCCCCTCTGTGAGAACATGTGTTCCCCTGCCACACATGCCATGCCTCTCCCCTTTCCAGCATGCAAGGGACTTTTCATTTCTTCTTCAGAGAGGTAAGATCACATATTTGTTCCTTCTGTCCAGGGTCAATTTTCCTACTTCCCAAGATGCCCTAACATCAGGAGGTTTTACATCTCCCCAGTGGGGTTCACAGTGAACAGCTTAGATCCCTGGAACAGCTCCTAATAGTTCTTTAGGTGACCCCCCTCTCCCGCCCCTTCCCAATGTGTAATATCTGGTGCTGTCAGCCTCCTCCTCTTGGAGGCTGTTGGCTTCCATCGTTGTGACAGATGCTGGTTTCCCTCCTGCTTTTCTAACTGTTCTTCCCATGACCCCTGCCTGCCTTTCTTCCTAGTCACTTTGTGACATTATTTCCAGTGGTAACGCTTCACTTCTCTGCTGTTGCCTTATCACAGTCAGTCCTTATCTGTTAAGGCACAATTGTTCATTAGAACCCTAGTCCCACATTTCCAGCTGCCTCTTAATTCCTTAGCTCTAAGTTTCTCAGCTGTGGCAATTCTTTATGGGGGTGGGGGCCTATGCACTATGTGCACTGCAGGTTGTTTAGCAGCATCCCTCATTAGATACCAGTGACATCCACTCCATTTTGACAATCAAAAATATCCCAGACTTTGCAGATATCCTTGGGGGGCAAAATCACCTTGGTAGACCACTGCCTTAACCAGGCTCAACATCATAAAAATGAAGCTTCCACCTGCTCCTCCCCTTCTCCCCAAGTTGAAACAGGGTTGATCAGATACCCTTAGATTCCAGCATGACTTTGTGCATGATAAAGGGCAGGTAGACGTGGAAAAGGAGCTAGGATCACAGAATTTGGAGAGTTGGAGGAGCCTTTGAGTCCCCAAGCTCAGATGTACTAAACTCTCGTGGCCCCATTTACCTCTACGATTAGACTTCATATCCTTTTCAGCAGAGCATTCCAATTGATAAGAGATGGGGGATGTGGGAGAGAGAGGAGAGGAAAGGGATGAAAAAAGAATTAAGGGGCCAGGGATTTAGCTCAGTGGCTCTGCCGCCTACCTGGCAAGCGCAAGGTCCCCAGTTCGATCCCTGGTACCAAAAAAAAAAAAGAGAAAAGAATTAAGATGTGTTATACATATACCAACCCCCCATGATGAATGAATCATTATGTATTGCAAACATGTATTAGTAAAAAAAAATTTTTTAAAACATTAAAACCCAAAAGCAAAATAAAGGATGGGTAATAGGAAACAGGGAGATGGATCATTTGCAAATGGGAATGGGAAAGGGATCTAGGGAGTGGGGGAGAGGGAGGGAGAATAGGGGAATGGGAGATAAAAAGAATGAGATATGGTACTTTTATGTCCCAACTCCTCATGATGAATGTAATCATTGTGAAATGCCAGCATGTAGTGTACTATTAAAATTTTTTTATAAAGGAGGAAAAAAGAAAGAAATGATGTGGAAGGTGAACTGTTGTGCCACCCCTGCTCTGACCAAAGTCCTTAGGATTTCCTGTGTAGTTCTAGGGCAGAGTTTAGTCTGCCCGCGTAGTTCCAGGTGGAGAACTCTTCGCTGACATGGCTTTTGGCTGTTCTTGTTGGAGACCTGTGGTACCATGTTCCCAGAACCAGGCCTGGCACACAGTTGATGTTCAGTAAATGAGGGTAGAGTAAGTCATTTGAATAGTGATTATCTCTGGGTAGGTAATACCTTTTTTTTTGTTTCTTTATGTTGCAACTTTTCTGCCTTTGAGAGTATGTGTTACTTTATAAGAAGGGAGGAAACACATGAACGTTTTCCCCTAATTCAGAAAGGGAAAAGGCCCTGGAACAACCCTGGCCTCATTCCACATGTCTTGCCTCCCCAGGTCTGACCTACCAGAGAACCATGGCAACCAGCGCTGTTCCCAGTGATAACCTCCCCACCTACAAGCTGGTGGTGGTGGGCGACGGGGGTGTGGGGAAGAGTGCTCTCACCATCCAGTTTTTCCAGAAGATCTTTGTGCCTGACTACGACCCCACCATTGAGGACTCCTACCTGAAGCATACAGAGATTGACAATCAGTGGGCCATCTTAGATGGTGAGACCTGGGGCAGCCCTGTGTGGGGTGGGGCATTGAGGAGGGAAGGCCAGGGAGATGTGGCAAGTTTTAAAAGGGCAGCATGAATTCAGAACAGGGAAAGCCTTCACAGAGGGCTTAAAAAGCTTTGTGAAAACCAAAATGTACATTCAACAAAGAGACAAGGCTAGAATCATGCCAACTCAGTGATGTCATGTTTGTTATTGCTTGCTTGATCAGTCTCTGATTAACAGTTACAGATATCTCTAGCTAATAAGAAAGGGGAGAACAAATTATTTTTAATGAACATAGTTTATTTGGAAATTGTCTTTTTGAGGGGTGGATCTTGCCTCTGACATTATGTTTCTAGTTTGGTTTAAATTTATATTTCTCAAAGTATTATAACCAGGGAACTTACTAGAAATGCAAATTTTCAGGCCCCTCCTAATTCAGAAATTCTAATGATAGGGCCCAACAGTCTGTTCAGCATACTCAAGCAATGTGATGTGAGGAACCACTGCTCTAGAGTTTTACTGATTATTATTTTGTATTCCCCAAGTCTCTCTTAAACAAAGACCCATTAATCATAGAACGTCGGTCTGGGAAGGGAGCTTTGAACACTGCTGAGATACAAATTTTCTATCAGATATGTGCTTTGCAAATATTTTTTTCCAGTCTGTGGCTTGTTTTTCTTTGAAAGGCCAGACCTTTTAATTTTGATGAAGTCCAGTTCATCAGTTTGTTCTTTTATGGATTGTATTTTTGGTGCTGTGTCTAAGAAATCTTTGCCTAACCCAAAGTTACAACAGGTTTTTTTTTTCCTATTTTCTCCTAAAAGTTTAGTGGTTTTACATTTAGGTTTATGATCTGTCCTGAGTTGATTTTTTAAAAATAGACATGAGAAGGGAACAAAGTTTATTTTTGTGTGAGTGGACATGGTGTGATTGCAGAACTATTTGTCAAAAAGACTTTTTTCTGCCGAGATGCTATTGTGCTTCTCGTGAAGATCCACTGTCCATATAATCTGTTTCTTTAATCAATTTGTCCTAACACCAGTACCACACTGTCTTGATAGCTGTGACCTTTAAGTCTTGAAATCAGATGATGTTAAATCTCCAGCTTTGTTCTTTTTCAAAGTCATTTAAACTAGTCCAGGCCTTGAGTATTTCCATATGAATCTTAGAACCAGCTAAAATTTTGGATTAACAGTGTTCAGCCTTTTGTTTTTTATTTTATTTTTTATTTTTGAGGGGGTACCGGCGATTGAACTCAGGACCTTGCACTTTTGAGGTAGGTGCTGGAACCACTGAGCTAAATCCCTGACCGTTGTTCAGCCTTTTAACCCATGAATGCAATACTATATCTCTTCCTATTTAAAATTTCTCTTATCAGTTTTTTTGTAGCTTTGAGTGTGTAGATCTTTTATATATTTTATTAGATTTATACCTGTATCTGTATTGATGCTACTGTAAATTATTTGTATAGTTTTAATTTTAGTTTTTCCTTGTTTGCTGCTAATATATTTAAGTAATCAGTTTCATAATCTTATAACTGTAGGTTGCTGTATTGGCTTCTTTTTCTGCCTAGTTGGTTGTGTCTGTGATATATCCAGTTTTACCACTTCTTTTCTAATCTGTTTGGCTTTTATTTATTTTTATTTATTTATTTTGCTTTATTTCATTGACTAAGGCCTCCAGTACACTGTTGAACAGAAGTCCTGAGGATAGATATCCTTGTCTTGTTCTTAAGGGGGAAGCTTTTAATCTTTCAGCATTGGGCATGAAGTTAGCTATGGATTTGTTATAGAGGTCCTCTGTCAGGTTGACTAAGTTGCTTTCTAGTTGCTTTAAGTATTTTGAAAATTTCCAAAAATCTCTCTGTTCTTGATCTCTTAAGTCCATTGTGCCAGAGAGCTTACTGTGCATAATTTGAAGTCTTTTAAAACTTACTGAGTCTTCTTTTACCCAAAATATGGTCAGTCTTAGTAAATGCTCTGTGTGTGTGTGAAAAGAACTTGTATTCTGCTATTGTTGGTGCAGTGTTCTTTGAATGTCAGTTAGAGCAAATTGGCTGATTATGTTTTCTAAATCTTCTACATCTGTATTGGTTTTCTGAATATTTGTACTGTCAACTATTGAGAGAAAGACAGAGTTTTTTGTTTTGCTTAAATTATTTTATTGGTACATTTTAGGTATATAGTACATTTACATTTATCATTGGGTGCTTGTACCTGTACATGATGCATCTTGGTTCTTATTTTTTCCCCATTACCTGTGCGCCCTTTACCCCTCCACCCTTCCCTATTTACATAGACTTTGTTTCCATTTTTTTTTTCTTTTCTCATAATTTTTCCTTTCCATTCTTTCCTTTCCCCATCTCCTCCCACCACCCCTACCCTTTGGGACCTTTTCCTATTTCAAAGTATCAATTATTAGTTGTTAACCCTTTTAATCCTTATTTACACTCTCAGTTTCTCACACTAGCGAAACTATTTGGTATTTATACATGTGTGTCCTATTTATTTCACTTAAGAGTATGGCCTCAATATGCATCCATTTAGCTATAAATGACTCTAGTTTCTTGTTCTTTATGGCTGAGTAGTACTCCATTTTATAAAAAAACCACACCTTCTTTATCCAGTTTCTAGTTGATGGGCGCTTGGGCTGTTTCCAAGCTTTAGCTATTACAATCTGTGCCGCTATAAACATGGGTGCACATATATCTCTGTGGTATGATTCTTTTAATTCTTTTGGGAAGATACCCAGCAGGGGAATAACTGGGTCGAATGGGACCTCCAGCCCTAGTTCTTTGAGGTATCGCCATACTGATTTCCATAGTGGTTGCACCAGTCTGCACTCCCACCAACAATGGAGAAGGGTTCCTTTCTCTCCACACCCCCACCAGCATTTATTATTGGTTGATTTCTTGATAGCAGCCATTCTTTCTGGGGTGAGGTGGAATCTCAGTGTTGTTTTCGTCTGCATCTCTCAAATGACCAGTGATGTTGAACATTTTTTCATATGTTTATTTGCTGCTTTTACTTCTTTGTCTGAGAAATGTCTGTTCATTTCAGATGCCCATTTTTGAATTGGGTCTTTGAATTTGGGGGGGGTCTGATTTTTTTCAGTTCTTTATATATTCTAGATAGTAGCCCTTTGTCTGAGTTACGGCTGCTAAAAAATTTTTCCCACATTTTAGGTTGTCTGTTAGCTCTGTTGGTGGTTTCTTTTGCAGTGCAGAAGCTTTTTAATACGATGAGATCCCAGTTGTTGATTCTTTATGCTAGTTCCCGTGCTATTGAGGTTTTGTTCATGAAATCTTTTCCTATGCCAATTCTTCAAGAGTTCTACCTAACTTATCTTCCAGGAAGTTTAGTGTTTCTGTTTTAATATTTAGATCTTTAATTCACTTTGATCTTAGTTTAGTGCATGGTGATAGATATGGGTCTAGTTTTAATCTCTGGCAGGTTGAAATCCAGTTTTTCCAACACCATTTATTAAATAGGCTATCTTTCCTCCAATGAGGGTGGTTGGCTCCTTTGTCAAAGATGAGGTGGCTGAGTATGTCTGAGTATTTTCTGCATCTTCTAATCTATTCCACTGATCCTCGGGTCTGTTTCTTTGCCAGTACCATGCTGTTTTTATCACAGTAGCTTTGTAGTATAGTTTCAAGTTGGGTATTGTGATACCCCCAGCCATGTCTCTGTTGCCTGGAATTGCTTTTGCTATTCTAGGTCTCTTCTGGTTCCAAATGAATTTTTGGATTGTTTTCTCTAGCTCTGTGAAGTATATTGTTGGAATTTCAATCCACATTGCATTACATCTATATAGCAGTTTTGGAAGTATGGCCATTTTCACTATATTGATTCTTCCTACCCAGGAACAAGGCATGTCTTTCCATTTTCTTATATCCTCCTTGATCTCCTTTTTCAGAGTGCTGTAGTTTTCAGTGTAGAGGTCCTTTGCTTCCTTTGTTAGACTGAGTCCTAGATATTTCATTTTTTTGGATGCTATTGTAAAAGGAATTGTTTCCCTAATTTTGAGAGAGAGTTTTTTAATTTCAGAGAATAAATGTGGATTTACCTGGGTTTTTTTCCATTCAGTTTTGTCAGTTTTTCCCTCATGTGTTTATTAAATGGATAAATGTTTAGGACTGATATAGCTTCTGGATGAATTGTCCTTTTAATTATTATAAAATGACTTTCATTATCCTTGAGTTTCCCTTCCCTACACTGCAGCCTGGAAATTGTCAAGGCCAGAAGATACTCATAGATGCCCTAGTTGATTTTGTATCCTATCTCAGGGATCACTGTTCTTTATTGTCTGATATCTGGTGTCTTGAAAATGATTGTTTCATCTGTTTTTTTGATTTTTCCAGGTGAGAAGGTTAGTCTAGTTCCTATTACTCCATCTGGACCATAAACAGACCCAAATCACACTGTAAAGAAATACAACTTTGTGAACATACTAAAAAAACACTGGATTATTCACTTTAAAAGAATGAATATTATAGTATTTAAATCATATTTCAATTAAGAAAGCACTACCCTTCGGGGGGTTGTCTGCAGCCTGGGACTTTCACCAGGTACCCACATGTTCCCACTGTGGGGACTCGGCACGTGGTGTTCTCTCTGCATAGAACATTCTTCCTGCAGAATTACTTACTTCATTTAAGTCTCAGCTCAGATGTTACTTTATCTGTAAGGCTGTCCCTGACCAAACCATCTACAGTAGTGTCCAACTACCCTTGTCATTTCTATGCCTGCTCAACTCTGTTTTTCTTTATTCAATTTCTGTATTTCTTTAACTGCTGAACATATTCTATTTTGAGTTTCCATCCCTCCTCATTAAAATATAAATTTATGAGAGCATGGGCTTAATTTTATTTACCACAGTTCCTCAGCATCTAAAATACTGCTTGGCTCATAAGAGATCCTCAGTAAACATTTGTGGGATGAATAAATGAGTGAATGAATTCTGAACAATATGTGTACAGTCACAGGTTTGGTGTGCTAGCTATAT